TGAGATTTTCAATATTTTACTACCCATGCAAGTACATCTGTGGACACTTGCATAATGTTATAGTAACAGGGGAAAATGATGAGCCTAAATATGTGTTGTTGTTCTGGATTATAACAAAAATGATAACTTTGAAGACTATTAAGAACACTTCTGCATTTAGGCTATGTAGATGCCAACGGTGTTTCAATAAAAAGGTACTGTGTGTATTTCTATAGGGTCTGTCACCTGCTTCCATCGAGATTTTATTAGTTTGACTGGAATATTCCACAGTATGGCATTAAACCCATCTCCAAGTTACAGGAGAAGCGACCACACAGACAGCAAAAATGGATCCACATGAAATTGGCAATATACTGCGGAACATTATAGGCAAAACTATGATATCTCATAATAAGTGGCATACCAAAGCCAGAAATTTTACACAGCCAGCACCTCAAAATTCTAATTTTCTTGCCTTTTTTGAAAATACACATAAATTAAGTTAAAATGTCAGTGAGAAATCCCCTTTAGAGTTCTTATAATGCACCATAACTAATGAGCCCACTTGACTTTGGTTTAAATCAAATTACAGGCAGATTATTGTACCTCTCTCCAATGGGCCCTTAAATGAAGCTCTTATACTGACAATGAGATTAGCTGGGGGCTCTAAGGAAACGGGCTGTTACCGCTACAAGCCTACACACTGCTCAGGCAGTGGCACCCAGATAACTGCACTTTAAATGGATTGTTAACATTGGACACCTCTACATCTCAGAGGTAATGTATTATGGTTATGTATTCATATGTAAATCATAACAAGATTTGTCTCAAATCTCCAGTGGAGCGGAGCCTTGGAGTGGAGAATATGAAAATACGGATGCAAATGTAACAAATGCAATATACTTAGTGAAGGATGGGACAGGAATTTAAATGAGCCTCTTGATCCAAAGTGGGTACAGCAAGTTATAGGTTTAATCTTCTGCTTAAATACAACTTTGAGGACTTTTCCCATTAAAAATACATACATTAATTTTAAATTGTTAACTGTTATGGTAATGCCCCTAACAATTACTTAGTAAGTTGGAAATTTGGGTATAATTCAGTCTCATAAACCTACATGAAGAAAACATCTAGACAATTTATGTTTGAATTCAAATTATGTTGTGACAACGCTAAAATATATCTACTTGTTAAGAGAAGAAAACTTGTTCATATGATAAATTTGATCTAATCACTGTTTTGATGATTAAAATAAGTGTATAGGTTTGCGGCAGTCATGGTTTAACAAAGAAATAATAGTGATCTATCCTACCCATAGACAGTATATATAAATGGGCATAGCTAACGAAGCTAGCTGCCGTGTTCCAAATAGGAAGTTCGCATGGGGGCTCTTCCGAGTCCTACTGACCCTGGCTCCCATTGACTTGCATTGGAATATTGTGGCCCCTCTCTCCATAACTGCTGCAGTGAGACTCGTCAGTTTGGTCTTAAAATGTTTGTACGCGAGCTTCATTTGTGTGGCGTTGTATGCTGTGGGTGATGTTGCACTCACTTAGTCCACTTTATACAGTCAGAATATCACAAAGTGGTGATATGGTTGTGAGACATGTATCACGGATCATATGAAATTGTGATTCCCAGTCCCACTATTGAGAACAAAACAACAGGCAAATACAGTAAAAGACATGTCATGCTGGAAAAAACATGAGAGGTCATGTGTCAGACTACCACTGATATTGTGTCAGATTTTAAGAAGAGACAAAGTGCAGTTACCTTCCCCTCCCACAGGCTTCAATCAAAGAGTCAAAGCTGCAGGAGGGATGGCTGGCATGTGCTCGGCATCTGCACCATCCACCATCAAAACTTCAACACTACTCAGGGATACTGCCCCACAAGGAGAGGAACAATCAGAGGTTGAAATTGCAATGGTTTGAAAGATTATTAATAGAAAAAAAATTCTAAAATAAAAGTGTAAGGTTGTTGTTGAGCAAAAAGAGAAGTAGGTCTGTGCAGCAAACTGAAATTTTAATAATTTCTAATTGTCAAATGATCAGCTTGGGTCTTTTTAATTAAGAGGTCTACTGCTAATGCTGTCATTAAAAGCATGTGGTTTGGAGCAGAGTTCAGATTCTGAATAACTAATTTAACACAAAAATAGTGAAACTTCTTTTTCCAAAGTGTGTATTATTTATTTTCAGTAAATTCAAATTGAAAGAAAAATCAATACAAGTGATTTTTATCGCCCAGACCTACGAAGCCATTGCTGCTCAAAACCAGAAACCTCTTTAGGTCTTTAGGTCTCAGCTTTAGTAAACATACTAGCATAATATTATAGGAAGAGGAATAAGAGGAAATTATGAACCTGAATATGTCTTGCCATTCGGAACCACTTTCTGATCATAACAATTTATACCACTGAAGACTATGGATTTAAGATTAGTACATATAACCCTAACCCTAAATGACACAGCAGAAGAAACTAACTTGCAGTTTTCATGTTGGCCCAAAGAAGAATATTTCACTAACCAACTTTAAATATTCTCATTAAATTGTTTTTAGGATCAAAGAGAAGCTGAAGTAGTCATCAACTGACTGATGGCATTCAATGGTTTCTACAGATTTGCAGAGAAAGACTGAGAAAAACATGCCCCACCTGCAGTTTTCTTTCGTCATGCTAAATCAATTATGATGGCACTTTACTGGGAGAGGCCCTACTGACCTTTGAGCTTCCTTCCTCACGTCATTTCTGTAGTTGCTTGGAAAAAGTTATGACATACTCATACTTGAGTACACTCAAGACATTTGCTTACATCATACATAACAAAACAAAAAAATACAGGAAAATTCCTAAAGAAGTTAAACATACACCACATAATTTACATAGTGTAACGTAATGGCTAAGTCGAACAAGCAGTTAGCTCCCTTACAGAACTTTTATTTATTATTTTCAGTTATTTAGCTTTAAGTTTTGAAGAGTTGACCAAGCATATGGCCGGAGGTTACAAACTTTCTTTTACATTCTTATTGACAAAAGGAGCCATAAGCCCCACCAAAACAGAATCAGATACAAATTCATAACCAAATTCCAAACTTGACAGCCATGCTTAGTAAACGCCTGCATCAATCACTAGCACACGCGGAAAACCAGGGGCTGTGAACTCTTTCCACTGAAGCGGTAACTCAGTAATTGCCCTGGCACGCTCCCATAGGCCTTGCACAGTCTTATCTTCAGGGCAGTCTGCCATCTCTGCCAATCACACACAGAGGAGTCGGGAAGGGAGAGGAAAGGGGGACTTCCTCTTCCGACACCATTCATGTCAGTGGGGCCACCTGCGGAGCCTGTCAAAGCCCGGGATCATGCAGAGACAGAGACATCTCCAACCTAGAGAGAAAAGAGCTCTTCTTCCAACTCTTGACTTTTTAAAGACACAAGTGAAAGTATGAGAACTGGAGAGGTGGACTTAAGATCACCAAAATCTGCCACTGAGTTGGTCCATCTTGTAAATGTATTCATCTAATAATCATCATTAGAGAGGGTAATATTGTTCATTAAATCAATTAAACAAATCTACCTGGAATTGTGTTTTGTTTCATTCACACATGTTTAAGTAACCCTTTATTATTAGTTTGTCTACATCCCCAAAGCTGAAAATGCCCTGTTCCACCTTATGATGTAATGAATGGAAAGTTTCCAAATTAACAGCCGCTTTATACCTTAATTCAGTAGAGTCAGGGCTGAAATTATCCAAATGATTCTAATGTGCTTTCTGTTTAAGAGAATAACTCAGCACTCAGAACTCTAAGTGTGTTTTTAATGAGGAATCAGCATTGTAATAAAGACAGAATATGGGCCCTTTAAAACTGTTTCATGCTCTATATACCACTGAACTTTGTGGTATACTGTAACTTAAATTTGCTACAACATAAGGTCGTCAAACCCACAACCTCCTCCTAGCTGTAAACTACTTTGTCACTATGCACTTCCAAATATGCTAAATAGCTGACAGCACTATTGCATTGAGTTGTAGTAATAGTTAAGCAACCACTGGATCTCCTCAGTTGTGATCAGATTGCAAATTTAGGCCAATCCTCATGATGAAATTTAACTAAAGCGCTCGTGTTTGTAACAAAAGCCATTAGTCTACAACTTCAAATCCTTAATTAGAATAATGAACCAAGGCGGCCCCATCCATCAGGAGTCTCATGAGAAGATTTCTCCTCTCATTTAACCCAGGTCCCTGATCCGAGGCCAGCGCCACCTGTTCGCGCTCCTCTCCACGCTGCCAACTGCCCTCGTTTTCTCCAGCTGTGAATGCGTAACGAGACGGGACTGCTCAGCCAACACCAGGATTACCGTGGAGTACCGTGGATTATCGAGGCTCCAGAGTACAGTTCATGGATCTACTGACTCCCACTACTAGCCCTGAACTAGATTTTACGCATTCTAAGTGTGTGCATTTTGCAGATTGTAGATCACTGGAGTTGGCTACAAAAATAACAACATGGTATTGGAATATCCGTGGGAATTACATTTTCAGGGTTAAATTACAAAAGTATATGGTCATTCTGGGAAACCAGTAATAGTATACTGTGTGTCTAGCAATAAAAGGCTTTAACAGCTGGGGCCTAGAGCAGCAGCTGACTGGAGTGGAGCTCACAGTGGGATAGGGTGAGGCATGGGCTAAGTGCTTCAACCTAATGGATAGTTGGGGAAATAATGTTACAAGATAGCGGAAAGACACAAGTCAGCAGTTGTTTAAGTAAGAGATAACAGCAAACAGAATAAAAACAGACCCATTTCAAGCTTTGAACACTTTTGAACGTGATATCTGTTAAATTCTGAAGTAAAAGTACGAGAAAGAAAAGATACAAGCGAGAATGAGGCGTAAACACGTAGCAAATCACGAGTATTAACTTTAAAAAGACTCAACCGGGAAACTCGTGCACTTTTACGCACAACTTTCTTGGGGTGCCAACACGCTAGGCCCTCTTCTTTTACTCTAAAGACAAACGTGACTTACCTCAAAAGCGACCTTGGCACTATTGTGTTGTGGCTACATGCGTCCTGTGGTCCCTTTCCCACGTTATTTGACTTCGAGGAATCAACCGCTACGAGCAATTTCCTCTTTACCGTCTGACTCTCAGTCTTCCTCGGTTTGTCCCATGCCGATAAACTACTTCCAACAACCCCAAGTAAGTCCTGCGACGGAATCTCGAATAGTATTCCTCCTAGAAGACAATGCTCCGGCAGCTGACAAAGGGTTGTTAATATGGCGGGGTAAAGGCTAGGCAAAGCAATTAAAATATCCCCAAATCACCGCCCGCTGATAGGTCAGAGCTGCCCTCAAAAGAGGTACAACAATAGCCGGACTAGGAGCGAGGAGCCGACGAGGCCAAAGAAGCAACCGAGCTGCGTTCAAAGACGGGGATTAAACTCGTTTATTTTATGTTCAAGGCATAAAAGCAACACAGTTGGCTGAAAAGGAAGATGACCGGTGTGAAATATTATATTACTAACAATGCAAACTATATTATAAGTAATGCAAGTATGACACAGCCATTAGTTTAACCTCTACATGATCAAAAGGCAACATTTTATTGTAATCCAAATCATTATTTACTCATTTGATTTCATTCACATTAAACATATGCCTATAAAAAAAGTACAAAAGACACTGTTTCCCACTTTAACGCATATTGTGTAGTCGGGGTCTAGTGGTTTTGTATTATCAATGTACAGTCTTTAAATTCCTTGTTTCGAAGGACTTTGAAAGCGCCTTCATCTCCCATTGAACGGTTTCCCCGTGAGCCCAATATGGCCGACACTCAGATTGATCAGAATATTTGGCACCAAAGGTCACCAGTTTTACTGGATTGTACTTTTCTTGTATGTATTATTTGGGGATACGAGTTTGGATTGTGCCTTTATGCGTAAATGTGGCTTTGGGCATACACTGCATGCTGTAACACAAACTGAGGGGACTGATTTGAACCTTGGACTGAAAACCTAAATTATGCAGACCTCTGGCGCCCCCTAGGTGTAATGTTGTGCAAGGTACATGTTCTTTTCTCAACGGCGAGATGTTCTTAGCCGAGTCAGTTTTTTCATTCAGCGGCCTGAGGCAAAATGGGTGAATAAATCGTTTCTAAAGGTTTAGCACTGCATTTTAAACCGCACAATATGTAAAAAAAAAATAAAAAAATAAGGCAAATGGTTTCTTGCTGAATCTATATCTGACTGAGGCAAACACATATTGTGGAATCACTGTGAAGTAAAGACCATCACTCAGTCATCATTCAGTATACCTACATCCAACACTTTGCTGACAAATGTTAACTCATTTTTGTCTTTGTAACTTCTGGTCATAATACTATAATTTTAATTTAATAATGTCTTATTGTATGTAACAATGTAATCTTACAATAGACTATGGCTTCAGATTTTTTGGTTAATGTGTCTTGTTTAGAAACGGCAAGCAGTGGTAAAGAAACGGTTTCATAAGACATCAGGGCTTTGGGGCATTAATCTTAAGGCTGAATTTACAAACTCAGTACAGACACAAGAAGGACACAGAGGGACATAAATGTTTCTTCTTTCATGTTTTATGGCTTAAGGACGTTGAATAGCTAGTGCAGAGATATATTCTTGCCTGGTCTATAAATAGTCCAAGATGCTGATGCGACAGGATGTGAAATGCCAAATTGTTGCGATAATTTCATTAGTTTTGAAAGTCATAAGCGACCCAACTACAGATTTCAAAGTTATCTCAACCTTTATATTTTGATTGGGGGCATTATCCATAATCGCATGGCTTTCGAGCAATTAGATTTCCAGACTCTCTAATGACCAAAGGGAGGCCGTGTGTGACTCATGCTTCCCCCCTTCTCGTGCGCACTGCTGACTGGACAGTGCGCTCGCAGTTCCGCACGCTGTCCTCTTGGTGGCGCCGTGTGCACATCCTTCAACGCTCTTGCCTCGTCTACCTGGCTGTCGCACCATTAGCAGTCTTCTCCAGCACATATGGGCTTTAAGTTGTGCTCCAAGCTGGAATCACGCCCCACAAAACTGGAGTTGTGGATAGGCCCAGGAGGCTGTGACTGGCTCCGTTCGTCATATTGCGTCAGAGTAAACAAAAACGCTGACGTGAATTAAAAAATAAATAAATAAAAAAAAATCAAGTGCTTGGTGAGATATATGTCTGATTCAACTGTGGGTAGCAGCACACGATGTCCTGCGTTTTTAATTATCATAGGCATCCCTTCAACATTTATGGACATTTAGATCCATGCAAAGTGTCCAAAAAACTTCCACTCATTTTGGACGCGCTCTCTTTCCCTTCTCTTTTCACTCCTTTTCCACGCGTTTAAAGCCAAGTTCGCGCAGTGCTGCTTCACTTAATTGGCCTTATTAATATACAGTAATGAGCTCCTCGATGCAAGAAAGCAGCTAAGAACAAGGACAGTTTTGGTACTTTAATTTTCTAAAATAAGGCTTCCCCGGGCCTTGCTGTTACTGCTTCAAACCCTATTCATATAACAAAAAGTTTGCCATTCTGTAGCTATATTTCGTTCAGACATTTCATTTTAAACATTTACAGTACATAGAAAATGATTAATTAACGCTGAGTAGAAATGTGGCCTGCGTTATTGCACCAAATGACGCTTTGAGGAAACGCACCAGACGCACGGCCATTAAAACGACATTAAAATGTACAACGCAATGATTGGAAAAGGATAGAAAAGACAGAGATGCGCTGCTGTGCAACCGGAGACGAGTCACTAGCAGCGGACAGCGTCAGTCCCTGGAGGCCTTGAACTTCTGAAGCCTGATCCCTGTTATGACAAAACCCAACCAATCGTTTCCCAGCTTTGCCATAATCATACGGGCCTAATTGGACTCATTGATGACGCCAGCGCACAAATTGATTGGTAATGGCCCTCGCATAACAGCGGTGTGCGTCTCTGCGGTTCAAAAGAGTAAAGTTTGGGTTGAAAAACTTGAAAGAAAAGAAAGAAAAGAGGGGGATGGGTGGGAGCTTATAGATGCAGGCAGGTGGGATAGGGTCTGACGAGGAACTGTACTATTATATTCCGGGAGGGAGGCATGATGACGTCTACTGCATCCTTAATGTGACTTATCGGGGGAGGGCGGAGGGGAGATAAAAATCCAAGGCAATCACAGCACAGGACAAAAGTTTCGAGCGAGCGATATGAAGACGCACGCGACAAGAGCAGGGCGCTTTTGGTGACTTTTTCGGGAGACGTTTTATTCTTCTTCTCCAACGTGCGCGCAATTGTCTCCTCTTTTTCTTTCTTTCTTTCACTGACCGAGTCCAAAGTGAGATAGACGCGGAACAGAGGGGAACATAAAGCAGAGTCAACGCGGAGACGGCGCTCCAGCCAAGGGGAGATAGAAGTGCTCTCTCGACAGACACGCCCGGACCCTGCCTTCCCTCTTCCTCCCACATCCTCTGCCTCCCTTCCAGTAACAGCAGCAGCAGCAGCAGCAGCAGCAGCAGCCAGTAGAAGCACCGCGCGCCACCGGTTCTCCCTTTCTTCTTGAAATAGGTATGTTACTGTGCCACCGCGGACTGCACGGACACTCATGGAGCTGAGCGCTGCGTAAAAGTCACAGGAATTTGTTTGTTTTTTTTCTTTGCATGTAAAGGATTAACTATAACTTTGATGTAAGGTAAACCTCTTAACTTAGCTTTAATTGGTCTTTACTCGTGCCAGTAGAATAAATTATGGCGTATTGCGTAGTAATTATTATGTTTTATTGTTTTTGGTGTTAGTATATTGATGATGGTTTTACTTTTCTCCACAGCATGGCCAGTTCGAGTAAAGCCACTTTAATCTTACTCATCTACGGAATCTTAGTGCACTACAGCGTCTTCTGCACACCCCTTGGACTAAGTTACCCTAAAATCAGGTAGGTGCCTCGTAGAAAATCATTTGGGCAACACTTTAGTTTACGCGTAATAGCAGAAACACTTGGAATTTCTCTGCACGGCACATTTAAGTAGTTTTATGTACGTTCCCCGCGTAATTACGCACAAAGTCTGCTGCGCTCCTTACCCACACCTTGCGCGCACACGGGTGATTGATGAAAGCCATAGTTGTCAAAGCGTTTGGGTGTGTGTATGACAGTGAGGTATGGGTCCGGCGGGACGCTTCACACAAGTCCTTCTTATTAAACTGAAACCAAGCGCCAGATGACGGGGGGCTGTCGTCACGCGCAGAGGCGAGGCATGGCGAGAAGAAATCTGAGCCACTTTGCATCTATTTTTTCCTACTTGTTATTGTGGCAAAAGCATGATTTTGGGCGTGGTTATTGTTCACATCATAATAGCCGCATTATAGTTTTTCGTTTTCCGTTTGCAATATTAATATTTTAGTGTTCACACCTTCTCGGTATGTGGGAGTTTTCACACCCATTGTTCGGATTAATTTAATTATTAATGAGCCCATGAAAGGACACGGATTTCCAAACCAAAACCGAAATATTTTAACATCTTTATTGTAATATTAAAGCAGTTAATACAATATAAAATCAATTCACGTGATTTTGTTTCTTTTTTATTATTGATATATTTATGTTTATGAAATATTTGTCGTTGAACTAAACATCAGTTTTTAGTTTTAAACATTTTCGTTCATTTTCCATTTTTTTTTTACATATAATATTCCGGAAAAGGAGAGCTGGAGCGCGCGTTTTTGCACATTCTTGTTCCATATTCTTCCACTGCTGCGTCCCACATAGACACTGAACGCTGCTCGCTCGCCTGCCTTCCTGATTTGTCCTTTTTTTCCCTCCCCATCCAGACTTGACAACGACGCCTTCGATGAAGACGGCAACACATTACCGGACATGGGTTTTGACACGGACCAAATAGCGATACGTAGCCCGGACGAATCGTATACCCTGTACTACCCACCAGACAAGAGGTACATTTTTGGCACCATATACTGTTCGTCTTGATCTGATGCTCTCGTGTTCTTATCTGTCCGGTGTTATTTTCACGTAGCCTAAAATGCACACGCCTTAATAGTCTTGTTTAAGGGGGGCATTTAAGGCTACGTTTTGGATCATTGTCTGCGCTTTTCTTTTTAAGTCTTCCTTGGATTGATATGTGTGTTTTGGCGTTTTATCATCTCAGATCAGAAAGGCATGCTGAGGAGGAATTAGATAGAGCCTTGAGGGACATCCTGGGTCAGTTAACAGCGAGACATTATCTGCATTCGCTGATGACAATACGCGCAGGGTAAGGGCATCCTTCTATTCGCGTTTACGCAGCTATCACATCCATTTCATTTGCCTGCATTAAAGTCTGCTTTGGTGCGTCGTTCAGCTATGTCTGTCTTGTTTTTTCTGTGTTGCATGGCGTATTTCGTTCACTGTCACTATTATCCCCATAAGCAATGCCGGTCAGGGTGAATTACAAAACAGTCTATACATTGATTTGTGTGCAGCACTAAAAAAAACTGCGTCAGAATTCACAATGGGCCAAAAATGATGAATAATTGACGCGCATAAATCCAAAGGCCTATTTTAGCAGGCAGGCCGTAACAACGACGCTTTACGTTAGAAATCACGACAGCAAAGGGAAAGATAATCCACGAATGAAATTGTACGATCGAAAAGAGCAGGTTTTCAATGCATTTTCTTTTCGTTTGTGTGTCGTTGCAGCGAGGACAACAGCGTGGAGGACGAGTCGGAGCCCCTTTCCAAGAGACACTCGGATGGCATCTTCACCGACAGCTACAGCCGCTATAGGAAGCAAATGGCCGTGCAGAAATACCTGGCAGCGGTTCTGGGCAGAAGGTACAGACAGAGAGTTAGGAACAAGGGACGGCGGGGGCTGGCCTATTTGTAGCGTCTTTTTTTGCGAGAACGCGCCCCAAACTGCCCAACTGTGTAAATACATCGAGTCGTTATAAAATTCATCCACCTATATCTGCCAACCAGTGGATTGCGCCTGTGTTCTTTCAACATGTATTTATGTATGAAGTAAAGCCATTAAAATCAATATTTTATTAATAATATCGTTTTTTTTTCTTTTTGTACTGAAGCACTTCTTGAGACATAACCTACACAGTTGTGGACCAATATTTTATTTTCATGTCAAGATGTTAAAGAAAATGAGAAAAAAGCTTAAAAAGAAAAGAGATTTAAATGTGCACCTTCAACATTATGCGCTTGAAATCTTTAAAAGTCATCTACATATGCAGAAAATAAATAGATTTTAAAAGACAATCAAAGTATTGAATGTTATACTTATTTTTGTAAGCTATTTTTTTAGTGTTGTTTATTTTGTTTTCGAACAGGCCCAAAGAAGCAGTGAGCATGCTCTGTAAACCGAGGCTTATCCTATATAAATTCTAAATGTTTTACACCGGACTGGTGAGCTATGTGACATTGATGTATGGCCTCATTTGGTGGCAAAAATAGAAAAGAAAAAAAAAAATTGCCTAATCTTTAAAACCGTCATTGTGGAGGCATGTGTTACAGAGATGTGCTCACTTGCCTCAAAAAAGTGTACGAAAAATGCATCCATAAAGAGAGTTGTGTTTATTGTGTACAGACGAGGAAAACTACAATTCCCAGTGTTGCCTGCTCAGTCCACAGTTTCATTCAGAAAAATGGGGGCAAACTGTTGAGTGCAGGCTGCACCAGACCGACATAGACAAGAGGACTATTATATCGGCTTCTTCATCCTTAATGGTGCATGTAAAGGCTGAGTTTTGCTTTAAAAATTGCATGACACACGTGCTATATAGAGATTTTTATTTGGGCTTATGCTTTAAGCCTCATTTTGCACCACAGCTCCTCCTTCTCAAGTTAAGGAGCTTCAGTGTGGTGATGACTGGTATTGCACTGACTTGTTGACACTGGACGCCCTTATCCTATATTTTTTTAACCTAATTGCCTTTTGTCTCCTGTAGTCGTAGTAGTAGTATTAGTAGTAGAAGCTATTTGATTTTATTTTTCTCTCTTTTTGCTTCAAGATGGCCGTGCTAGTTATCATATAAATACTTTTCTTTTCGGTTAGCCTAGACAGTGCCGTAGTTGGCTTTTGTGTTGGATGTGTGTGGAGAGCGTGTCGTGAGGATGTGATAAATAGATGGGAAATTCGTGAGGAAAGGAAGAATTGAAGAAAAGAGTGGTGTAAGAGTTGAAGCCATTGTGTGATCATTTATGTAGAAGAGAAAGAGGTAGACTTGACAACTTGAGGGTCAATGAGTCTGAAAGTGGATGTCAGGCGTTGAATTCCCTCACCTTTGTCAATTGGAAGTTGGAGGCCATCTACACGAGTGCAGTTTTGGTTCAGCACGTTGCATCTTTTTGGCATTATTAGCACCTAAAGCTAATAATGAGCTTGCCTTCATTGTAGTTTATGCACTTTTTTAAAACATATTTTTGTATTAAAAATATGTTTGGATGAATTTAGTTCTATATTTTCTGGCAGAATTATTAGTAACTGAAGCTAATAATCAACTTGCTTCTTATGGTTTTATTTTTCGTTACCAAATTTCTTCGCAGATAACTTCACAAATCTAGCAGATTCATTCTTTTTTTTTTCTTTTGCTGCTCCTGCATCCAAACTTAACCAAGCATACAAGATGGCTGATATGCTGCCACATACTTGCCATGCACAATGCTTTTCTTAATTTTTACTTTTTGTCCTTTGCCTTCTGACGTCACTACTGCAAATCATGCCTTCTCAATGATTTGCATATTCATTTAGCATATTTTTTATGCTAAATGCCCTTTTTGCTCATGCTTCATTCTAATTAAACTATTCTTTTTCCTTTTTAAGTGCTATGTACAAAAATATTAAAGTACAAAATTGCATTAGTGTGGACAAAGCCTATAAGATTGCTTCCTTAATGGCATAGAGCCTGTCTTAGTTGTAGGTTGTGTTATTTTAAATGCTGATTTGAAATAGATGCGCTTTAGTGTAGATATTGCTGACTGTAAGAAAAGACTAAACGGATTTTCACAGCCCTCCAGCCCAGAGAGACCTACGTATTGACTTTTATTAGACCAATATCTTATGAATTTATTCCATATTATGCAAATGGCGTTTTATGCATCCCTTGCAATCCAATCTCTGGCCTGCATCCTTCTTTTTTCATACAAAACTATAAATATGTTGTCAAATTGGGCTTTTCTTCCTACAGGCTTTGTGCGAGAGTGGTATCAATGTAGGTGTTTTGCAAATATCTGTATCCGTGTGTTTGTTTGTGTGAATGAGGATCAAAACGTGGAGGTGGTGGAAACAGCTTTTGGCTTCGGTGCCTTGCTTTCGACGTGAGAAAAAAAATGTACAAAAAATGAAAAAAAAAAAAAAATCGCCACAAGTGACAGATGGCAATTTTAGTGGCCCTACGATGCTGCAGTCCATGAGCTTACATTCAAACGTCCTTTTTTAATGTTGAATTGCTTGGCTTGGTCCACCCCAACAGTAGTAGTAATTAGGCTTTCTTTTTAAAGCATGGCCAATACTTTATAGTGAGTAAAATATTATTAAAATGGCTAGAATGTATATGTTGAAGGAGCAGGCAATGTATGTGTGTGCATGGGGTGTTCAGTGTCTGTGGGAGTTGTGAACAAACACCAGTGGTATTATAAATGTTGACTATATGAGGTGTTGTTTCTTTGATATTGGTCAGTACATTTTAAAGAAATTAGCCCCTTATATAACTTATACTTTCTCATGTACATCACTATCCAAAAGTACAAGGGTTACAGAACCATGACGGAGATGTTGTTCCGCTCATAGAAAATGCCTGTTGTTGATATTTCTGAAAGCGCCAAACGCCTTACTTTAAATGTTGACTCTTCTCTTCTCTATCTGCAAAACTCTGTGTTTTCAAAGTGAACCTTAGTACAAGTGGCATCGTTCTACACACAGGAATCCTTTATGGGGTTTTACGTTTCTCAATGTCATGAAGTGTTGTAAGATTTGTATGAATAAATTTTTGTAAACAACATTTTTCTAATCAATGTCTAATCATTTTTAAGAGAACCATTGTTAAATTCATATATAAGGTGTATTAAGATGAAATTAAGAGTGCTGGCACATAAGTCTGACCGAAGTGCAGATTTGGAGCCTCAGAGCAGATCATTTCTAAAACAGACAGCGGCCAAAAGCTCTGATGGAAAATAAAGTTAAACATCTCTCACATCCAGCCCAGCTGCTCTCAGGAGCACAGAGTCTGCCAGCTTCAATTTACATTTCCAGCAAAACCTCATCACAAATGAAAAGCAAATATAAGCCAGGAGCGTTCACACCTGTAAGCAGCCCAGCCCAGAATACACTGGTCTACTGTGTGTAAGAGGGAACATCTACTTCTCCACCTCACCTAAAGATATGTATGCTTCTAGCACATTTAAACGGACAAGTGAGATGAAAATAAGGAGAGGTCCTGACTGCATCAGACTACTGGATCAATAGTTGTGAGTGTACAGGCGGTTGGCGCCTGCTCCAGACTGAGAGTTCCTCTTTGTGGATCTCTCCTCGCTCCAGTCTTGGCCTTGGAAGTGCAGCTGGGTCTCGTGGGAGCAAGGAGGAGGAGGGTGTGGTGAAGAGGCTCACTGCTCTAACCCAATCAGAGACATGTTGCATGGCAACAGGCCACAAAGGGACGCGCTATGTATACGCATGTGTCAGGAGTGTGTATATCGCCATCTTCACAGCCCTGTGTACATGTTTATGAGCGTCTTTCATTATTCATAGCACACAACTCCACACAGCTCTTCAGACCTCCTCACAACTACACACAACTACACACAACTACACACACCTCCACTCAGGTCCTCACCTGTACCTGACTGCAGTACAAACAGCACTGGACAGCACTCTCGCTGATACTGTAGCGGCAGCACAGTGGAGCAGGTGGTAAATATGATTAATGAAAGCAGCTAAATGAATTAGCCATGAGAACCTGCTCACACATACATGTGAGTCTCCCAGAGGAGGCGAGTGGTGGGAGTCGTTACTAAGAAGCAGATTGGCGTTTGTCAGCTCTTGTGTGGAGATGTCTCTATTCTTTATTTATCCCTCTGTGTTTTGGAGCTGGCAGCCCAAACTGAAGCTTTGTCCTGTCGACAAGATGAAATTCCTAGATTCCATCTGACGTTTTGGGATTTCACAAGTGATGCGTTGAAATAAATAAAAGAATATATTCAGAAAGGAATTGCATTTGAAATTCAGCCGAAGTGCATTCTCTCACAAAGCAGAGGGAATACCCTTTACACAACATACACAAAGATATGATTGAAGACGTAGAACAAAACAAAATATGAATTCAGCAGACTGCCTTCACTGCTCCTCTGTGGCATTCTTCTTCTTTTCACCTTAATATTTGCCATTTTTTCTGGCCTTTTGGTAATTATTTGTGAAGAAAAGTCCTTAATTCAGGCTGAACCACAGAATCCCATCTTTTAATAATGCGCACGTGTCCTTCATAGCCCCCAGACATGTCTTAATCATTGTTGTGTGGGGCAGCAGTGGGGCAGGGAGGAGGGGGCAGGGGGAGGGGTGATGGATTTGGGATATTCCACAGGGGATACCCACAGTGCCCCTCCAGTCGACATGCAGCCAGCTCTTTGTTACCATCTCAGCACTGATCTACAATCTCTTATATCAATGTTGGTATTTATATAGGCCAGAATAGGTAATGATATAGGTAAAATAGGTAAGTTGTAATATACACCAGCTCATTCTTGTGTTTAGAACATTCTAGAAAAAATGGGGCCTATGTGTGTAATTCACTGATATTAAATGAAATCTTAATTATGACTGCAAGACAAATTATATTTTCAGCATGAGGCATGAATGTTTGTTTGGTTCAATTCCACTCTTCTGAAAAAAAAAAAAAAGAAAAAGAAAAGAAAATGGCAAGTTACTTTACACTTGGAGGCAGATGGTTTGGGCGTCTCCTCAGGGAAACAAAGAGATTTATCTAAGTTCAGTGTTTTTGTGTTGTAGCTTCTGTTGATAGTCACACTGTGAATGGAAGAACATAATTTTAAAAGTCTTTAAGGTCATCTGGGGTAATAAAACCTGTGACAAATCAATGGGATTGTCACTGCAAAATGTCTGCATGCTGAAGGCCACAGTTGGGGTAAGGTCTTCTAGAAATAACTGGTAAGAATTTGTTAACCTTTTCTAAGCAAAAAAGAACATACAAAAATAAATACAAATATACAGTCATTTATACACTATACTACCAGTTAAAAGTTTGGACACACCCTCTCATTCAATGCTTTTTTTTCTCTTTATGTTTACTAGATTTTATATACATATGGAATACGTCAAATATATTATGGAAAATTGATGGAATACTCTCTATATATTTTTCATCTTTTAAATTCAGATCCTCAAAGTAGCCACCCTTTGCTTTTTGGACAGCACCGCAAACCTTCTCCATGAGCTTCTTGATGAAGTTTCCTGAAATAGTTTTCACATCACAGCTGTGCCAGAAGCACAAACCAGGGTTCAAAGCAAAGAGTGGCCATTTCTAATTTTTCTAAATATAAAACAGATTTATTTTGTTTGCTACATTCCATATGTGTCCATTCATAGTTTTGAATGGATTCTCTCTTGTAGTGAGAATCTACAATGTAAATAATCATGGAAATAAGGACATAAAATAAATTAAAAGAACCTTTCTAGGCTCCACTACCCCCTTGTCTCCATGAGATATTATTACTCTGCCTCGAAAGTCCCACAGTATGGCATTATGTCTCAATCTTGCAATGATTTCATGATAGCTGTTAGGGGGGGGTTAGGGTTAGGGTTAGAAAATAGGCAAGGCAAGCTTATTTTTATAGCACAGTTTGTACAGAAAGTAATTCAAAGTGCTATACAGAATAAGAAATACTTTAAAATCACAATAAAAACAAATCAAAACATAAATAAACATCATAAAATTAAAAAGAGAGACATTAATTACATAAATTAGAGAGCGGAATGAAAACCTTCCAGTTTAACACAACAGTTTTGATCCTGGATTTAAACAGAGTCAAAGTGGAGGCCTTTTTAAGTTCCAGGTTTTAGCTGCAAAATAACACATTACGAGCCCTTTAAGATCCCATTGCTTTGTCTTAATATGGCAACAATACGGCATTAAATATATCTTGCATTTATTCATAGGTGTTTGTAATGCTAAAGAAATACCTTGATAAATATGCATTCTTATTGTGAGTGGGCTCTCCTCTCCACAGATGTGACCTGTTGGCCTTTGTTCTTTCATCTGATGTCTCCAAGGAGATAGATAAGGTTAATCCATATGGAACATTCTGGGCAAGGCAATAACATCACCATGGAGACAAACAGATAACATACCCTCCACTAGAAAAGTTACATAGTGCTTTAAATTGTAATCAAACTGATAAATTGTGAGTGTTTTGAAATCACAAAATTGAAGACTGTTCATTTCCGTGAAGATATACAAGTTTGATTCTTTCCTGAGGCATATTCCAGGAAAAGCAAATGCATCTCTGTAGTTAGAAGCAAGTTGCAAACCCTGCTTACATATTACACCTTTAAACTCCTGCTTTTTCTGTTCACCTTTGTGTGCACTCTGACTTCCCCATGGTGAACCAGGATTACAGCCAACACTACAGAGAAGTCCAGACAGCAGTGATGCAACAGCCCCTCCCCTCTCCCTCCCCCCCCCCCCTCATAAATCATTCAGGGCTCGGTGTCTTGGCGGGACATGTACACAGGAGGGGTGTGCCTGCTCCTGCCGCCCCCTGCCCTCCCCTGCCCTCCCCTGCCCCGGCCTGCCGTCCTGCCAGAGCCCCACAGTAAAGGCTCTATTCTAGGCTTAAATCTCATCCCTGCCTGTCACGGCTCTCATTAAACAGGAGGCACGGTAACCCCCCCAGGGACCAACCACACGTCGCAACAGACAGGCGCCACGGAAACCAGGGGGGAGTGGGAGGAGTCGGGCCTCTGATCAAGACTGGTGTTGCTTGTGGCGTTCAAAAGGGGAACACTTTAGTTGTATTGCTTGGGTGACCATGTGGAACCAGCACTATCCATCATGTGTTATGAGCCTACATGGGCAAAGCTGACGTTATTGTCGCACCTTAAAACAGCAATAAGACAGAGGTGCGAGTGGGAATAAACGTCACACAGCATCAAGTTGACCATTGGATACACCTGTGTTACTCAGATTACAGGCAGGTACAGAAGGTTTAATGTTCCACAAAGAACCCATCATCTTGTTATGATGTCCTAAGTTTGAACCCTTGAGGTAGAAATGTATTGTGATAAGTTTTGAGCTTAAGGGTAGAAGTATATGAGAGGGACTGATTTTTGTTTGTTTGTTGCTTGAATTATGGAATGTTTGTGTCAAGGTATTAAGATTAAAGATGTATTATGCAACTTTTCAAGAGGAGTGTCTGTGATCTACTTGTCTTCATGGGGATGTCATCGCCAGCATCATTACAATGCTATGCAAACTTTCTTTAAGTGGACTCACTTCTCCACAGATTTGACTTGTTGGTTGGTCTGGTGCCGTTACCTGGTCGTCTCCTTGGAGACAGAATATTAAATGCCATATTGTGGAATATTCCAGGGAAAGCAGTAGCCTGATTCATCAGCCGGTTTCACTTCGTGGAAACCGTCTGACCTCGCAGCATTAGAATTTGTTCACTCGACGGTAGGCGGGTACTCTTTTTTAATTTAACCAGCTATTTGATTGTGACGTATGTAATGTGCATCGGCAATAATGACTTTCCCCTTGATAAAAGTCACCAAACATTCTCCTTGTTTCGGCCTTAAATCCTCGATCTTGGGAATTGCTGCCAACACAGAATGTATGGCTGGTGCCCTGACTTGCACTTCCGGGGTTCTTACAAACCATCTAGTATATTCCGATTCCTGACCTAGTCACTAGAGAGAAATGGAATTGAGCGGAGGCACTAGGTGGCACCAGCTTGGCCAGGAAAGCAGTAACATCTCCTGTGACATGATGGC